TATAGAGAACTCAAGAGGCTACCGACGACTTCCTGTGGCTACCTGCATATCACGAACTATGCGATAAAACACGAACACTAACAGTTACATAAACAGAAGGTGTTCTTATTCTACGGTTACACCGTTTACATTGTCGTTAAGTGGCAGATTTTTGGGGAAAAAGGTCTTTTTCTATCCGGTCGACATGCAAGCGTTCGCTCTCTTCAAATTGCCACCGCATCTACGTCAAAGATTTACAACGCATAACATATATCCTTGAGTGTTCATCCAATTAAGCACCATTTAAGTCATCGCGGGATACTACGATTGCTTCGAAAATGATGAATTTTTTTCATGTATTACATAATCGATTCTTTCATAAAATATTTTCAAAACGCAAACCCGATATGAACCTTCATTGACCAGTGATACTTCATCTGCGTTCAAATTTGCTCGCATAATTCTATCGAGCAACAAAAAACAATCGTCACCCAGAAATATATGAATGGGTGCTACCAAGATCTTATTCTATGACGTGATTAGCTAATGCTCAAACGATGAAATTGTAGCCTGTTAGGCTAGAACCTCAGGTCTCTGTTATTGTTCGTAAGTTACTTTCTCAGTATGGAAGAGGCAGCTATCGTATGTGTGTCAATAGCAACTAGCCTTGCTAAATCGTTTGTTTTAATTTCTCTCTGGACAGAGCCAATCAGCAGGAGATTCTGTTGACGACAGCGTCGCCATTACGTCGTCATACCTTTAGCATTTGTCGATCCTTTGCGTGCTAACCAGTTCATGAGAGAGACCCCAACACAGATCCTTTCATTCTTCGATCCGCTCTCCTAGCGTTCGCCTTCTCGTCGTCCATTACAGTTGCCTGCTTCGTCTCATTCGAGACACCGCTAAGATCTTCTAAATACACTCATCTTTTTCTGTCGAAAGCAAGAAACCGTACTTACCCTTCCTGCTAACTCGTTATCCGTAAAAAGGTTCCTCATATAATGTATCAAAGATAAGGCAGAGATATGTAACGAGATGACACGACCGAATGAAAAAATCCAGTGGTTTTCTGCTACGAGCCAGTTGCATTAGATTACGCTAAATGAGTACCTTATATGTCTTACTGCTCTTGTGCATCAATAAAGCGTTGAGGTGTAGGACTTGGGTAAAATAACAAACCTTCCTCATTTATCCGTATTATACCCGCTGAATGGAACTCACAGTAATTACAAAATGAGCGGCAGCAAAGAGAAGCTCTTTCGAAGCTTTTCGAAGGAACCTAAGATTAGGCACGGTACATTATTGTGGAAGGATCACACAATTCTTATAATATAACAAATTTCTGCTGTGACTACTGTTTGTTTCAATGTATCCATGTACGAGTTTGTGCCAATCAAAATTCGTAAACGTTTTAAAATGTCCATTTCAGCATATGAAAATTGTGTGTATATTTAAGATATCTAACGACGTTGCGTATACATAATTAAATAACTGTACTGCTCTATATAGCATAATGAAATGATACAGAATCCTGGGTGAAAACGTGCAATTTAAAAGGCTCCGTAGTTTGATTTACGATCTAAAGTTGTGCCATGTAAAGTATGTTAGATGAAGTACGATTACTGAGTGCTATTATTAAACTTGCGTCAGATCTACCTACTGAATGAGAAGGTCAATTCAGTGAACTATAGCTGCACGGCTCACAAAGCCGTCTTGTTCCAGACTTACAAACTTACGTTCAAAAATCTCACATTTTCGTCTTAGTTTATTATGTGCTTCATTAATTCAAGTAAAATAATAAAAAAAAAAAAAAAAACTAAGGAGGAAAGTGGAAAATAATATTCGTATGAGAAGAGATGGTTCTCAAGAGGCTAAATACCCACACTACGCTGCTATTACGTTTATCGTTGAACGGAGAAGAGATAGCAGTATAGCAGGCCAATGGAAGGCAACCTACTTAAGAACCTACAATAAAATATCTCATTTATTTTGACTACGACTGAATGCAAAAATGGTACATCCGTGCTACGTAGATCTGGGTGTAAATAGTATAATAAGGAAACGTCGAAAATGAGGTGCTTAAATCTAGTAAATTAGTATACGTTAATAATTGCTGAATGTAGTTATTTAATCTACACAACAAAAGCCTGATACACGTACAATAGAAAGTCAGCTATAACTATCCGAGCGCAGAACATACCAGCAGCTAGCAAATGAACCGAGGAAATTGCCTTCGATAATATTGTACACACTGCAGTTTTCTTTAGATTGTTTATTGTATCTCTTGTACGTTTTTTTTTGCCTTAATTTCTGTGATAGAACAGCTCTATGCATGTGTCTAACTAATTAAATAAAATTACCTTTACTGCAAGGTCACAAGGACTGCAATCAAATTGAAAGTATATATCCTTATCACGCTAATTTTAGGGGTTTGCCCTGCTTAGTAATATCATACTACTTTATAATCATTCTTCATAAGTGTTTGGGGCATCGTTTCATGGTAATAATTTGCATTATGCGTTATGTGGACCATTCTGCCGTTGTGATTTGTCGAACAGTCTAAATATGATCGTGTCGTAAGGCAGAGTCAACGATGTGAAACAATATGAGGCTGCTGGACAAGCGTAATCATGAACTCATTTCCAGCTGTTCCAAGACTTACTGTGCTACAGGGTATCACTGTGCTAAGGGAAAAAATAAATTCAAAAAGCTTTTGTGGGGTACACAAGCTTTTCAAGCTTCAGATATCACTTCCATATTCATGTTATATCTTGTATGGCTCTCATGGGGCCCCCGTTTGTGATACCCAACTTGCTTACATAACAGTCAATCAAATAAAGTCTGAAAAAGCAGTCCGGTTTTACTCTCTGATATGTCAACAAACACCAAATGGAGTTCTAGTCGACCTGTTTTTGCTGGCTCTTTTATTAATATAAACTTATAGCTGCAGAGTAGCTTCTTTAAACATTTTCAGAACTGGCCTGCTGAGCCGTTTTTACCTTGATCTAGCATATACTGCTCATTTTACTATAATTTACATTGTCGTCAGCCGAGTCTCATGTGACTCTATGATGAAAGTGCAGCGATGCGTCTAAACCAGTTGCGTTTTCCGCAATGGAAATCGTATCCCAATTATTTTTATGTTCCCTATAAATGTATATTCCTCATGCGCTGATAGCTATGGTCAGTTGTGGTCAAAACGCTTCATATCTCGTTTAATCTCCAAACATTTTACGATTTGAAATATTCCCGTCTGTTTAAAATGTGACCAATATACTCAATAGCGCTAAAGTTTATGTGAATCTAATATCCGCTTACACTACAGATGTAACGGACGATTTTATTTATATTTTTCAGAGATGAAGCTATTGCGTTTCCGTGTTTTGTTCTTTTTTTTTTTTTTAGCAGTACACAAGCGTTGTATCCATGCTTGACAACTTATCTAGCCATCCAAAGGATGATATCCTTTCTATTTCCTAGATCTATCTGTGATTTTCTGTGTATATACACCTTTCTTACGCGTTTTGTATGAAATGATGCCTAAATAAACAAGTTGAAATGACCAAGGTAGGTGGATCTGGCGACCTGTTTGAAGTAAGTTAGCTAGCTGATACCTATAGCATTCACAATCTCTTATAGAAACAGACAAAATCAGTAAACACAAAGATCCGGCTGTCCTCTGTATCCGCAATGAAACAGTTTACTGTAAAGACGATATTGTCAATTTAGATTATTCTTAGTCAATGTGTCCCGTGGTTATATATCAATATGGACGAGGTGGCAGCAGGAAGTCTTCAAATTGTGGTAGATTCATTTTTTTGGGTTCACGTTATCTGACCGTTGTTTATTATAACGCAACTAAGTCCCACTGAACTATTCGTGTGGCGCACCGGAAGATTTAAAAGAATGTGTGTTACTACCTGTTAATTTTGTTCATATGGTTACGCAAATAGAACTTCTATTTGCGAACGTGGACACTAGACTTATATATAGGAAATCAGTGGTCGCAGGTTCAAGCCCACCACTACTGTGCGAACTATACGTAAACTCATACAAATTTTGACATAGAGAACGCTTATAGCTTTCATTTCCACTTCTAGTGGAAAGAGCGGACTACTGCCACACGTGACGCAGGACTTGCGAAAGAAAACGGAATAAGAATGGACCAACAGCAACGAGAAAAAAAAAATTTCCGAAAAAAAAACAGGCATCGCCAAAAATGTTAGACGAGTTAAATCCAAAAGAAAACGGAGATTGTTTAGCATTAGGTGCGACTGATCACTGGCGACAAATAAGAGTCAAAAAAATTAAGTTCTGCCAGAAAAAAGCTTCTGCAGAATCTATTGTATTGCATGATCAATTCTGTCGACGGTCAGTCATCAGAGGAGACATTCACAGACCAATTCAGCACCATTAACGATTTCACCAACAAGCAAATGAAAGATCCAAATCAGCACGTTGACGAGAAGGGCAGTGATTGTGAGGATACTTCTGATCAAGTTGAACAGCCTGATCAGCAAGCTAAAAATTCATCTCAAATCAACGGTGCGAAACAGGATATTATAACTTTACCCAGCGATGATGTAGTACCATCGGCAGAAGGGAACTTGCAAATATCGTCGGCTCAGTCAGACGATTCGCTTCAAGCGGATTGGAGAAAGAAATGGGGCTTGTGTTGTATTAAAATTGTGTTAGGTATAGCTGGTCTACTATTCGTTTTTGCCCTCTTTGCTCTCTATGTCGTCATCCCATGCCTGTTCTACTGGTCAACTAAGTTCCGCCGAAAAATGGTATTCAGAACGTTCAGTGGGGCGTCTACCGGATCATTTTCCGACCCGGAATCTCTCGGCATAAATTGCTCACAAAATTTCTATGTTTCCTCGGACCAGGGCATCCGACTCGGAACGTGGTACGTTCAATCCCACGCATTACCATGCAGTCTGAATAGAACCGTGTTTCTTGGCACTCCGATGACGGCCCTCTATATTCATGGGGTTTCGGGGGACCGGAAAAGCGCAGCCCGTGTGAACACGCTGAAAGTCCTCTCAGCTAGCGCGAAGTTGCATGTCGTAACGTTTGATTTCAGAGGATTTGGGGACTCAACAGATGTAACGCCTTCACTTGAAGGTGTTGTTAGGGATACTCTAGCAGTTTACAAAAGCATTCGAGCCATTATACCTTCGCAGAAGATAATTGTTTGGGGCCATTCGCTTGGTTCGTCAATTGCGTTATACTTGCTAGCTCAACTGAAGAAGATGAATGACAGTCCGTTTGCAGTCGTTTTAGAATCTGCCTTTGACAACCTTGGTACTGTATCTAAGGTCACTCCATATTCTAAGCTGTGGCAGTGGATGCCTTGTTTCAATGCTTTGGTGCCCGACAGTATAATGTCCGATCCTGCGACAATGTTCGACAGTGTAAAACAGGCGAACAAACTTCAACCCTCATTACCCATACTGATGTTACACTCTGAGGATGATAATGTCGTACCAATCGGCCACGGCAAACTTCTGCATAGCGCTTTAGTTTCGGCCCGAAAAGATGATCCAGCCAGTGGACCAGTGATCTTCATCTCGTTTAAGGCATCGCATAACTATGGGCATAACAATATCGCAACCTATCCTGGTCTGAAGGGCATTATCGAGCGATTCCTTAATTTTTCAAAGTCTATGCCAATAATGAGTCCTCCTTTAAGGTAGAATTGGAATATGGAAGCTCAAATCGGGTCAACAGCTGTAGCAACGCCCAGGCGCCCATTTCTATAGGCTGTTAGAGATCCTCACTTTACTGTAACTAGTACGTATGTCATTTGTGATTACATTACTATTCGATAACATTTAAAAATAAGAGCATAATAGTGCTATCAAACGAACCTGCTACATTATGAAGCCATTTTGTTTCTAAGCACATAATGATACCGAGTAGGTTTTGGTCGACAAATTGCATGGTTATTGCTTTATGAATATTAATGGTGGAATTTGCCTTTGAACAATGATATATTTGTAACTGTTCTCACTATTGTTATATAATAGGGGTATACGTAAACATAAATAAATGTCTTAAATATATAAAAATATCGTAGTTAAGTGTTGTGTAAGGCAATATTAAATATAAAACTCGAAAAAAAGGAAAACATTTTAAAACAGTATACGTATATAGTAGCCGCAAGAACTCTCCAAGAACTCTCAAGAAATTTAAGAAGCAGCGTCTGTGAGTTGAGGCAAAATTCTAGGGAATCGATTCATATTATCCTGCACAAATTTTAGTAGTAATTTTATGTCGGCATTTGTTTTTGAAGCGATGACTTGAACAACTCATGAGCATAAAGAATTACATTGGCGTTATATAAACTAATAGGTATATTAAGATTGTATAAATAAAAAGGTCTTGCTATCGATAAAAATACAAATCAATCACTCGGCAAAAAGCATAGCACGCAGTGCTAACAGCACAATATTCGAGCCTTTAAGAGAAAACAAGGAAGGTTGAATAAGCAGAGAAACGCAAGTGGGAATGCACCTATCAGGGAAGCTGCTGAACACTTTCTTTCAAACACACTTTTTTAAGGAACCTGGCTGCGTGTACCTAATAGAGGTGAACAAATTACCATTTAACTGAAGCGCTTAATACATATCTGAATCATATTCTTATTGTCCTATTTTCAAAGTTTTCAAAAATAGGGCGCGTAGGGAACGTCGTCAAATTGTGTGTAAAAAAGTTAATAAATTATAATAATTGAAACGTGGCATTGCATATTGAATATTTTCACAGGAATCTGATGGCTGGTTTTCTCAAAAGATTATGATTCTGGCAGAGAATTGACTTCCCTGATGAATTTTTGCTGACTATATTTTTATCGAACGTATCACTGACTCCTGCTAACAGTTGAACGGAGGGACCTTTCCAGTGTTACTATCTGTACTTTCTAGTCATTTTACGTTACTAGCAAGACGATCGGTACCGTATAGCATGCGAGTGTAATTACAGACAAGAGCAAATAAGAAAAGAGCGGCGTTCTGTTAACGACGAAGGATTTAAAAAGAAAAACACCCGGAACTGTATACACCAAGTAAGAATTTGAGTTTGTTTGTACACGGAAAAACAGGAGGGTATTCTCAACAAACAAAAAACCTATTGTGTGTATTCTAAAAGGATCAGATTGGAACAAATGTTGTTCAAACCTTGAACAAATCGTCCTTAGAACATAGCTACGCAGTTTTTGTAACAAGCATGTTATATACCTGCATATATTTGCTTGTTAATGGTAGACATTTGACATCGCTTGTATTCGAGAATCGATAGTTTTGACGCGACTTCACGGAGAGGGTTAGTCACCTTTTCAACTGAACTCGCGATGAAAAACTAACCGTATTAGGCCATTGTTCATTTTTTCTTTAGTGTGAAATCGAACACTCGTGAAACGAACAAATCGTGATCAGTTGTAGTCCCTGTTGAATCAATTTAGGCCGTCGGACTAGCGACTGGTTCAAACCTGTCAAACGTTCACAGGTTTGAACCAGTCGCTTGAACTTATAACCGCACGCGTGGCGACGGCGCTTAAATGTAGAAGAACCTCTCTAAACTGACCGTTGCCAATGATTTCATTGTATGCGTTGAACAGGCTTAGCAACACCGCATATATAGAGAAAAATAACAACGCGAACAATCACTGAACTTATGAGTTTGCTGAAAATGAAGAAAGTAAAAATAACAGCAGAGACAAAGAATGCTCAGCAACCAAGACAACGAAAGAAAGGTGTTGTAGATATACCGTAACAAATATGATTGAATAGCGATATCTGCAAACAGGACGCCAGTCATTGAGCTATACCACTGGAGCTGCCACCAACGGAGCGAAGGTATCTCAAATGTTAACCAAGCCTATAATAAACGGCCACCAGGCCAAGCATGCGCATCTTAGGGCACTTTTCGTAGCAGTGTCGTATAGGTCTCTAAGACCGGACGCTGTAAAGCAAGCTCTGTTCTGGAAATTCTACCAATAGAGAAACTTACTTAGTACCAATAACAAAGCTCGCAAGTGTTCTTTCATCAAAGACTGTTACTACAACAAATATGAGAAAAAACGCTTAAAATGACAATTAACTCTTGTTATGTTATCGCTCATTTTTATAATGCTTGAACAGCGATATAATTTTAATCTAGATAATTCGGGTTAGACTTCAAATTGAAGCCGAGCATACTAACCCTAGACGTATGGTAATGGTAATGGCTGCGCACTGCATTCTGCGTCAGTGTAACCTGACATCTGACCTGATACATCTGAGAGATCGTGGTAATAATAAATCTCATACATATAATATTTCTTAAGTATCTTTCGTATCTTGAACTTTGCTCGGTACGAAAAGTAATTTGCTAATAAATAATTTGCTAAAATATCGCTCTCTTTTACCAGGCAGGCTTGTAAGTAATGACGTTTATACGGATCTTACGGCCTTAATATAATTTGTGGCTTCCTATTTTCCAGAGACGCTCAAATTTAGTTTGATTTAAAATAAAGTGAGTACCGGAATATATATATATATATATATATATTCTGTTATCTGTTACAAGGCAGTTCGTGGTTAAGTGCATCACATGAGCAAACTGCGAAGTTTTAGAAGTGTGTACGATGCAACAATACTAGAATTAATGGGAATTTAATTAGCGCAAAAATGATTCAAAGTTTTCCAAGCACTTGTAAGGATATGAAAAGTACTTAGAATGCTACCTGTAGCATGACTAAAACACGCTGGTAAACGCTGGTTTGGAGTTTGTTACAACTGTGGTTTCTTATTATCATCAGTAGTATCGGTAATGTATATTGTCTGACATTGATAAGCTGATACTTCGTGCACATATGCGCCTGACAATTATATATTTTACAATTAATTGATGGCGTAAATAGTTTAAACTGTCAGATGACATGAAATAGCCACATAAAGACGTGTGATGATATGTCTGGCCCCGGATGATAAAAAGCGAACTAAGCACCGAAATCTTGTTGAGACCGTTGTTAAATGAAAGCACTTCATTATATCCTTATATATTTTCTTATTATATATATATGTATATATATATACCCTTATATATATTTTTATCTCACATTAAACATGTGAGAGTACCTAAAAGCTTCCACGGGTAATAAAGGACGCCACTTACATGCTGGTACCTTTTAAAAAATTGAAAATCTCGATTATTGAAGCCAATTGAACTTATATACATCTTTGGATATAGTATTCAAGCTTTTCCTGTTGCTCAAAAAAACTTACGATTACACATATTGCCGAACAGAACGATTGTCCACAGATGACGTATTACCATCATGTGTACTTTATAACTACATAACATACAAGTAACTAATAAAATCCAGATAAAGGAACCATAAATATCATAATTCTACGCAGTGTACTCCAATATATTCTTAGTGCTTCTCCATAGTGTACTAACTGAACTGCAGTCACGTGCGGTCCTCCCTTTAGCCGTAATGGCAGCTGTATAGCATAATGACAGCTCATACAATAATACACCACAGTGTTCAGATTTATAGCTTTACAGGCTTTATAGGAGATACTCAAATTTCAACAGTGCGCAGTCATATCAGCTCTGTATCTTTGTGCCTTTTGAAATTCGCGCCATCACTCCATCGCACCCAGCTGACACAGACGACAACATTTCCTTTTCGTTGCTTCTAACTCACATCATAATTGTTCAATTTGCCCTCTCGTGTCTGCGGCCGCTGCCGATGTCGTCACTCTTTAAATACTGTGTTAATGCTGGCCGCCTACCTGTAGCGAATCATCTGTGTGTAAAGAGCAAGCGCTCTATTTTTGTTTGATGATAGTGTAGTAGCTACTGCTGGAGCACACGAAACCGCCTCTCAGAGAAAAGACCATCATAACAGTAACAACAGCAATAATAACAACAACAATAATACCGTGGTGTTACCCTATCAGCAGTTCAGCTCAACACATTCAGTCGGTGGCATAGCGAGGTGAGTCAGCTACGGCGCGACCTAGTTGATTTTGTATTGCGTGGAGGTGATTACCTCTGGAACGAAGACGTCTGCCAACAGAGAAAGCACCGACGAAGGCGCAGCTTCCCTCGTGCGACATTAGGATACAAATTGAAGATCAGCCTTCTTTGGATTCATATAGAATCCCAACTGCCTTCTCTATCCGAATCGCTGGTAGAAGAAAGCCAGCAAAACAGCGGTTACCGGCGTGACCTTTTACCTTCCGTGATTTGCGCGTATACAGAAAACCTTTTTTTTTTTTTTTTTTTTTTTTAAATATATTGCCTTATTGCGCGGCGCTTGCGAATAACGGCGTGTCGTAGAGTTAATTGTTCTGGTAGCGATAGAAGAAGAGTGCACGTCGATTCTCAAATCACTATGCTGTACTTTTGGTTCGTGACACTTTGCGGTCTGTTCTACGCATTTGTGCCCTCTTTGTCACAATGGGTTGTGCAGAAGCTCTTTCACGAAAGCGATCAAGAGGTAGGTGGTGAAAACAACAGTTTGACAGAATTTTAACAATAAACACATATCTCAAAGGCGAAACCATAGTGAGTGTATACTTAAGCAGTTATCATGAATGCAGGCATTATTATCGGCAAACTGCTAATAATTGTTTAATAGCAAAATGTGAACGAACTTTGAGTAACGCTTTAATGAGGTATAATAATTATTATATGAACGATTAGCCTAATCTTTTACTCCTCTTTATCAGTTTCCTTTGTCCTTATCAAGTTCACCTATAAAATCGCAGTTATTATATACGTAATTCATTTTCAGTGGTTGTATCTATCACTCTGATTCAAAAAATTTGTACCAGGTACAATCCGACTACCAAGACTAGGTAGTTTTAGGGTTCATTAATAATTTCATACGGTCATTCCCCATAGCCTCAGGGGATATCCTAGCCTTTTTGTTATTTGTTTGCTTTTGTGAATAATTTATTCTCAATAATATATAATAAGCGTTTGTTATTTTTTATATATTGACCTTTTTGGTCTGGTACATTATGTGCCTGTCAGGAACAAACAGCGTGGCTCTTCCAGAGATCAGATGGGACAGCTAAATGTCAGAAACTAATCCACTACGCACGAAAGAGACTCTGGCTGCACCCCCCACTTAAGACATTGTGTTATCGTCTTCCGGCGCTGTCTGCTTGGGCTACTTCGGCTGCTGCGCTCGGAATCGGTCTTCGTCCTCTGTGTTGAACTGCTCTCTCATGAGGCATACAGGGCTTCACGGTTGCGACCGAGCCATGCAGTCAGTAGGTGCTCGCCCGGCCGCCAGCCGCATTGAACACATTGTGGGTCATCATGCGTCGAACATGGACGATGGGCGATGGACACAACAGCAAGATAGTAGATTCAGACAAGAGGAGTCGAGGAGGCAGTCGAAATAATAGTAGCCATGGTGCTTGTATCATGATAGCCGCTGTCTCTTTCCCCACCGCTAGACAGCCCACCTAACCAATGCAGTAGTTTTCTGTTGTGTGCTTGTCTCAGAGATACGGTAGGAAGAAGCGTGTAATGTCCAATATTTTCCAACATCGTTGGCTGTAATCGTTATTACTATTGGTGCCGCTTAAAAATGGCTTAATCAGATCGCGTATCTACGCCGCTAACAACGATCATTGAAAAATAATTTGTTTATGAAACGGTATTGTTGTGTCAAATCTCAGCAAAGGCTACCCGCTATTATTTAGATGTGTTGCTTTGGAGAGCGCAAACGCAGTTAACTAAACATCCTGATGTGATGTTCAGTAGCAGTAGTCAGCGGTTAGCAACGATGCAAAAGAGTACAGCAGGCTAAAATCTACACGATCGAGACACGGAGAAAGAAGTAACAGAAAAAACGTGTAACTCAAAACTATGCCGGCTTAGAAAAACTTAATAGCACCATAGCCATTGTCATCATTATCATGGATGTTGAGTGGTATGGCCTTCGTCTTAAACCCGCACAGTCGGAAGTGGACTCTGGTGACAAACCTGCGTGGCGAGGCCCGTTACTCTATTCGCCGTGGGACGCGATGTTTATGATACTGGCCGTCATTTCGGTCATTGGCGATGTTATATCAGATTGCTACGTCGCGTATGTGCATGCAGCACATGGAATGATGCTCACAATGTGGCTTACGATAGCGTTCATCGTGGTGCCGGGCTGGATATCGACGTGTGCATCCTTGCTTCTGATTATGCAGGATCGAGAGAACCGTGTTAAAAGCCAGTGGTCTTGCAAATGGCTTGTAGTCTTCCATGTCCTGCCATTAGTTCTTGTACCTCACTATATTAGTTCATTACAGTTCGCTTTAAAGTCCCAGCAAGAATGCCGATCTCGGCCCGAACGCCAAATGTACTATTATCAGATGCTATGGGAAGATTATGATGCATCGTATCTACGTCTTATTGAGGCATTTCTAGAAGCCGCACCCCAACTGCTGCTACAAGCCGTACTTGTACTAATATTCTACAATGAAGTCAAAGATGAACCATCACACTACTGGCCTCAACTTGTTATACCGATGATTTTTAGCTTGTTTTCGTTGTCCTATGCCGTCGTTTGTTATAAACGCAGTCTTCGAATAGCGCAAAATGCAAAACGTCTTTCATTCGCAGGAACGATTACACTATTATGCTCACAGATGAGTCTTGTGGCCAGCCGTCTCATCGTTTTGGCCTTGTTCATTTCGGTTGCGCCTGTGGAAGTGACGGTCGTAGCGATCCTAACCCGACTACTCTTTAACGCTACCTGGCTTTCGTTGTTCCAGTTCCGACATGTAGCATCGGTTGCGGAGAACGTCATTTTACGCATAATTTTATCCGTGATTTATCTTTTCACGTATCTTGACCTCTGTGACGGTCAAACTGGCCGTCGACAAATCGTCCATCACGTTGCAGCAGTGGTCGATTGTGGCGTACTTTTAGCATTGTACGCACTTTACGCAATTCACCTGAACGTTTACTGTGTCGTAGCGGCTATTTGCTTGTACCCGCTTGGCTTAATGCTGCTTGTTTCTTATTATTGCAAATGTCACCCAACGAGCATGAGTGACGGGGTTCATTTCATAGAAGCCCCGACAGTTCCTCATTCGTAAAAATGCCTACACACGACAATTAGATGTGTTCCTATGCTCATGTTAGCGTTATAATCACATTGTTATAGATGTGCAATCGGATCGTCGATCATATAATGTAATAATACATAGACTACTTATATCATTGATCTTTCAAATGCGTATGCAGTGAAGCTATTTGAAAGCGTTCGACAAGTATCGACTGACAAAATGTTGAATTTTTACTTGCCACCTAAGAGATGCTGTTCGCTACAAACCTGATATTCTAATAGACAGCCAAGGAGGTAAAATTGTCTTAAGGCGTAATTAGTAAGCTGTTGAAGCCTTGGATGTACATGCATAAAAACTGTCTTCAATGATAGAATCATACCATATGATTCAATAGAAATTAGACGGCGACGATTACCGACGCGAGGCTTGCTTATGTCGAAACATTTTTGAAAGAGCATTGTTTTGGGGGCATTTATTTAACAACATGACATCAAGTTGTATAATTTATGCATCGACCTTAAACCTGTCGCTCTACATCCAAGTGATTTATACGCGATTATTTTACAAACGGTTCTCTGAGTAAGAACACGGAGCGAATGAAAATTACAGATGTATATTATTATTGTTCCTACAACTATAAATCTCAATTTTTTTATATTATATTTTATTCTTAACATCTGCAAATGTAAGCCTATTTTTACTGCCCTAGATTGTCTCTTACATTCAGCCGGCTTCATATATAGTAAATAATAAGAAGCTTGTCGTGGTACTGTGGATAAGGGATGTCGTGTTAATAGGAAGTGTCAAGCTTTATTTGTAATATATGAACTATGTATGTATATAAACATTAATATACTTTTATACACGTGAATCTATATATATATATACAATTATAAAAAATAAATCATCGTAATTTATTGTCTTGATCATTTTAAACCAAAAAAATAAGCAACTATTTTCTTTCTGCGATCCTGACTTATATTTAACTGCCTATTATACACGTTTATGTGTCGATGGTGTGAAGCAATTCGCAAAATAACAAATAAGTGTAACATAAGCTGTCATAAAAACATCGCTTTAAACGTTCAAATATGGCTTTTCTAATTCAACTTTTATATGTAAAACATCATTCGTTTGGTACATCGTTGTAAGAACGCTTGCATCGTTGACGTTGCTGTGTCAAAAAAATTCCAGGATTAAATCAGAATAATCTAATCGCGAAACCCAGAAATCTCTACTTTCATATTCAACACACGTTTCACATTAAGCCTAACTAACGGCTCCTGTCATTCGTTTTATTTTATATTCACGTGCATTAAAAAAACTGGAAAAATTTTATTTTTTCGTCCCACCTAACGGATTGGGTGCATATACAAGTCTTTTTTTAAATTTTACCCCAGAAGAGTGCTTTTCTGAACCAAAAAATATGTCACAACTAAGATTGGTAGTGTTAAATAAACATAAATGTGACTTATTGAATAAACCTAAAGTAACTTTAATGAAGTGCACATTGCACTTGGCCACATATAACGTCTAATCGAAAACACATTTATGTCCACAATTAACAAGGAGATCCCACGAAACATTTTCTATGTAGCATCCAGTTCTAGAATACAGTGGCTTCCTGAACCCTACATTGACAATGAACTTGAACTTTCGGGTATACATTCTAGCTGAAACATTTCGTGTGGATAATTCAGTTTTCGGTTTCTCGATTATTGATCTGTTTTAATTTTACTCTAGCTTCTGCTAATCTAAAATTAAAATAATGAAAATGATGCGGAACAAGCAGGATTTACATTATTAGTTTCGAAAACGATTAAAGCCTTAAAGATTGATGTCTCAGGGACATTTGCAAATCGTTTTAGATATTTTTTCTTAGTTTTCATTTATTTAATATATGACCGCTGAAACGTTTTTACTCAGGACATTGCGTTGTCTGCCAACGGCAAGTATGTACAACAGAAATATTGATGAAAGTGACATTTTTTTTCATTCAACTATCATATGTATGTATGTACACGCCATAGTCGCCGGTCTGTCAATGTGTATGAGAATTATGATAGTTAATTCATCCCACATTATAACAGAAAATCATCCGCCTCGCGGATTTCCGTCTTGTCCGCTACCAAGATCTTAGCCTGACATCTAAGCAGTTCTTAATTGCTATGCGCCTTCATGAGTAAGGTGATATTTTCGCCCTTGAGTAGAATCCGACCGACGGGTTTGCGATTGCCAGTTTTGACATACACCTCCTCCGCATCGTCCAACACCAGATTCATATATTCATCGAAACCTGAGGAATCGAAGTTTAGATGTTACACGAAGCTATTCTAAAATATCCTAGCAAGAAGCTGAGTCTTTGAAAACTGTCATATCAGTCGTTTATCGCAATGTGTTGGTAGACTACCGACTAGAAAACCAATCAATGAATATTTTCATCAAGTTAATGAGTGGTTCATTACATGCTAATCTATCTATATATAACTTGCATCGGCATAGATAGAATAAACATTTAATAAACCATTCATCAACTTGATGAAAAAAAATATATATATATATATGTAGTGCAGGTTATAACTGCAATGAGCTACTAACTTTACGGAACTATTGTGTTCACAATAAGCGCATATTTGCATTATTTATTTTATCGATGAATACTGTTTACTACGCAAATTAGAGGCAGTCAAGTTAGAAAACTTACTTAACTTGGAAATTTACAAAAAACGTCTAAAGCAGTAATTTTAACTGCTGCAACCAGCAGGTTTTGAGCACAAGCTAGATAAACGTACGATAAATCGCCACAAAGCTAAAATACACAACTACAACAAACATTTCAACAATCGATAATAATCATAACATTGTCAACAAGCTTAAGCGTAATATTTATTACAAACTGCCAAAACGGGGTTCGTTTTACCGTCCCAGAAATACTTTATGGTAAAATTGATAACCCTCACGAATAAAAAACTTACCAATAATATGGCCTTCAATGCGCAGGCTAATGTTCTCAAACAACCACACCTGAATTTTCGCCCGATTCTGCAGGTACCGAAAGATTAGATTGATGGGTTGTACCATCACCTTCTGAACTTTTGCTCCTGACTTATACATTCTCGCTTCGTGCAGTCACAAAAAAATATCAAATACGATTAAGGTAACGAGAAAGAGAATGCACAAAGATTTTTCCACGAACGAAATCAGCCACAAAAACTGGCAGCGTGTATTGTTAACGCGCTTCCTTGATGGAGTATGGCAGATGAGGGAAACAAACTATAAGGAGGAGGTGTGTGGGCGCGCCAACTTTGAATATGTAAGGGCCCTGGCGTGTCGCCTAAAATGGACCTGCTAGACCTTGAATAAATCATGATAAGTTCAGTGGAAAGAAATGATAAATAACACTTCTGGACATTACTATTATAGCAAATAACAATGATAGGAAATATTTCTTTTTATTAAAATAGTAATGTTGATAATCTTTCATCATCAGTTTCATGCTATCTAGTGATAACCTTCTATTTAAAAATTAAGAAAGATTTTTGAAATTCAACTTACTTAATGTCGAACGAGAACTTCAAATAAGTCACAGTAATATAGAACTCCAGTTTTTCGCACTTCTTTCGTTCCGATTCATTAAGTGAACATAACACTGCTTAGTTTATTTATTGCCGCATATTCGAATCAGTTGCCGACATGTACATAAGAGTCTATCTATGGGGAGTTGCCAACGTGCATATAGGACTCTATTTATGAAAAGATAGTAACTATTACAACCGCGGGCCCGTATCAAACAAAATAAACTTTTAATTTGGCATTTGTTTGGTATTTTACAGAAAGAGCTGAAAAAGCAACTTCGCGAATTAGTCAAAGAGCGATCGACAGTGAACGCCGTTGACGCCTTTGCTCGATATGCAAAGTTAAACCGACGCATTGACAAGATACGGGAACAGCTTGGTGAAATTAATATGAGCAACAGTAACTACATTTACAAAGTACGATTGACAGCAACGGCTATCCTGTACGGATTTATCTCGTGTATAAACTTTTACCTCATCTGGTTTTACAGGTATGCAATACACCTCATAGAATGATTTTAAAGAGTATTTATTAGATCACTGATTCCTGATTAGCTTGATTTCGACATTTCTACCTACACGTCTGGCTCTATTTAAAATGCATGTACTCATGGCTATAAACATACCATCTGATACCATCAGTCAAATATATACACTATTCAAAAGTCGCTCTAAACCAATTGTAACTTTATGACTATATTATGCTTAGTACAATCTCAATGTTTGTAGGCACACCGCTGGAGTTGCGTTGATCTTTTCCTTAAATGATATTATTTATATGCTACGGGTGATGAACACCAATTCTGAAGTAAGGTTTTTTTCCTAGCCGGCCTTCAATCTTAAGCGCTCCTTAGCTTTCCGGCTCCAAAGTCTTTGAAATGTTACTGCACAAAGCTATAAGGTGCGCACGTTGGGCCTCGTCGCCGCGCAACCAAACGTCAAGTCGTGGTGTTAACTATTCGAAACTTCCTAGACGGTACCTTGTCTACTTGAATAGCTAAAGCTTCAAAAGTTTTTAAGAAGAAAGCACATGTATTAAAACAATATGAATACAGATATTAGCATAATCAATTGATTCCTTAAATTTCCTTAATATTTTTCGTTTTCCTTACACACGTTGTGAACTGAAAAATGACTCAAGCTACAATCCATGATTCGATTGTGTAAATTGTTATGCGTGCCTTTTCTACTTCTTTTTTTTTTTATAGGAGTGTGCCCCTACTCAAGGTCCCGCTTTCGTGGCTGGACCCTTTTGGTAAATTAGCGATACAAAGCGATGCCGGCTTAGGCCTTATTCCTTGGTTAGTCATCTCCGCCTCAGTTGGACGCCTCGTTATCAGCTATTTTACCGCAGCAACACCAATTGCAATGAAGACCACAGGCGCAAATACCGATGATTCGTTTCACATTCATAAAGGGAATGGTCCTAGCAGCTCGACAGGATATAAAGCAGCTATTTCGTCATAATGTACGCGCTACAGTTTGAATGAGTTTATCGCCTGAAAGGAACTCATGCAACAAAGTAATTTCAGTCATCGTCATACATCAAGCAGTGCACCTCAAAGAAGAAAATCTGAGGGAATTTGTCTGTCCACGCCAGCTGGAACGAGACAATAGGCCCACGCATAATTGTTTATCAGTGCTATAAGCTTGAAGCGATATGATCTCTGTCTACATCAAACATAATATAGGTATAAATATACTTTCATAAAAAATAGACGAATAGACGAATAAAAACTGATAGAGGTATTACGTAGAAGCCAGTTAGTTGAATCGATGTTTAAGTAGCAGCTTGGTGACTGTGGTGTGTGCAGTGTGGCCAAAAAAGCACTAATAGACAGAAAATGAACTGCACATTTAATGCCTAAAGCTGACCCGATACTCTTTTGTCTTGACAAAACCACACCCATACAGATTAGGCGTTTCTCAAGTAGAGAGAGAGAAAAGGGCACAAAGCCTATACTAATGCTCAAAGACTATCACTATGCGATATCCGCGCGATCGAAGTCAACTCGCTAGCGTACAAAACTGTTTTTGACTGCGAGCATAAAAACGAAAATGTCGATGTGGTGTTTATAGCCAATGACTTCGGTTGTCGTATGCATAAATACTGTCGTATCATGTAAAATACTTTTGTACACTGGTAGTTGAACCGAACATTTGACGTGAGTGTCTATTTAGCTCAAGAGCAACTTCCCCTACCTGCCCTTTCCTGTGGCAGGAGGTGGTGGATGCTGTTATAAACCTACATATGTGAAAGGTGACATACTACTATAGTATGCACCAAGCAGTTTATACGTGAGGATATATTTAAAAATCTATAGATAATATACATAATTTCTTGCAACATACACACAATATACAAATGTAGGCACACCGGCATACATTAATGTACCATGATTATTATTATTGCTTTTACTATTATCATGCCATTTGTAGATATTGCAGCGGGCAGACAACAATGACGCAAATGGCGCTGTAGAAAAACCCAATATACGGGGAAAAAACGTTACTGTAGTAAAAAACATAATGGTAATTAATGGGATCAGAGAAAATACGAAATGCGTCAAAGTCGCGTGAAACAATATGTCGCCCGCGGCTACGATTGTTAGGGATAAGACACGTGCTAAGATGCCCAAATAACTACGTAAACTGCGCCGCTACATACGACAGGCAAATAAGTGAGTGAAACACCAACATATATGCTAAAAGAAGACTATTTCTACCGGAAAGGCACAGAAATTCAATAAAGACAAATTGCTATATGATTATATTTTATCATCCGTTTCTGAACACTTCATTATAGTCAATTATTAATAATTATGCATATTTACATAATGATTTACTTGCATTCCCTAAACATTTTTCTTTGTCTTTTTTGAGCCTATATATGTTCACGTGTGTGAACGCATGTGAATGTGTCTGTTGCGTCCGTGGTTCCTAAAAATAAGAAAATAAGTCAATCGAGATTAAAATTACGCTTTGTTTTTCCTAAGATTCTGTAATTCAGTTCATATCATCACTGAAACGTTTCCACTTTTCTATTCTTACCGCTCTGCCCTTCTTGAGATCTCGGGTTTTCGCGATAAAATGACAAGCTATAGAAAATGTAATGGCTTGAAAAGTAGTGCCAGAGGATCTTGTTCTACGCAGGCACCATTTCAAGCTCTTTTTGTGATTTGTTTTTGTTTCTTTGAAGAATAATCTCCGAGGGCTCATGCTCGATGTCGCCTGCGGGAACCTCCGGCAATTTGAGAATCTTCTCCGGCTCATTTGGTTCGACAGCGGGTTGTTCAACTTTAATCAGTTCATCCAGTTCAGACAAAAGAGCGTCATCATCCACCTAAAGCGCACAGGAATATATCAGCATATGAATGCTAGCGATTACAAAAAGTAGCAAAATATCGATTGTGTTAAATATTCGATTATGGTAGTACTTTCTTACGGGCTACTGCTCGTACATAATTGATTTTGCGCTAAAGGGACGAACGCTTACCTCGATTTCGGGTGCCACACCAATGATGAGATCACTGATTTCTCTTTGCACCTCGGCCGCATCGCGGGTTTCGTCAAGCATTTTTTCAATATCATCAAGATTTATAAGTGCAGTTAAGCTTTTTAAGGCTTCGTTGCCCTGTTCTAGATTTCGGACAACGTTCACTTCAATCTGAGCCCACTCGACGTCCCGAGTTAGCCGCTCGATCTTCTCGAGGTGGTTTTCTGAATTGAATCAACAGCCAACCAATTGCCATTTTTATTAATCCTGGCTTCACTGTTGATTGCATTCTAATACAGCTCACTTAAATAATCTAGTGTTGTGTCCAACGATCATAACCACTAGGGCAGAGCTAACGATGTCTATACATTCATATTTAGGGGGGATTCATTGTACAGCTTAGTCAAACTGTTTTTACTACATTACCCTTTCCTCGACATCACTATTTACCGAATATACTACAATTCGTATAATAAAAATGACAACCAGTTCTCTTATGTGAGCTTATTTACATGCTGGATTAGTGATACTTACCTGTTTTTTCAATAATTTTTTCCATATACTTCTTCTTTTTAAGTATTATCAATGCGCGCTCCTTTTTGCCCTCTTTGACTAGCCGACTGGCCACCTGTCGTTCCTTTTCTAGTCGAGTCTCTAGCTGTCTCTGGTGTTGTTTCAGCTTATCACGTTGCTGTTTCATCTGTAGCACGATTCGATCCTGTTCGGTTACTCGGGACGGGACTTTCTTTGGACTTTTCGTCCGGCCCAGAAGATTTCCCATTTTGGAACGATATGGTGCGCTGAGAAAGTCAAAACCCTAAGATATCACGGCCCACAGTCTCCCACCACTGCCGCAGCGGCTTATTACAGTGTGCCTATTATTAAAGCAGAATCAGTAAAAGATCGAGTCCTCAAATGTTGTATATGGAGAAGCTTATAATTAAATATAGAAACGACATTGAAATATTTACAATTGTTATAAAATATTCTAGAAACGATCAGTCATAGACCTATAGAAAGGTCATGACTAGCACTCACGGTGTTTGATCGTGAAATATAGTAATTACTGTACACATCGATTTTCGGATGCTGTTCATTTATAATTTCCGAAGTATTGTATGCTATTTAACATTCAAAAAAGTACTACGTAATTGCTTTTAAGTTAATTGCGTGGCCGCGGTTATTTAGTAATCAGGGTAATAAAATAACAAACAATTTATTTCGGGCTATAGGGCTCATACACAACGCTCGTAGAGCGCGGCGGTTATCCGCGCGAGTGGAGGTACCACATGATTCTAAATTATGAAAATTATGCTTTTCACATAGTGACGTCCTATTCCACTCAAGTGACTCCTTTAGTCATTCCTGCGGACTGTTTTATGCCTGACCATTATCCTATGACTGCGAAAAGAAATATTTGTTATTTGTCCACATCATACTTCATTAGGTACGTATCGGTCACTCTGCATAGCTATTTTAAAAGAACTATGTTCGAACATCTCGTGACTACGAAATATTCGAAATAATTCTACAATCTGCTCTGGTGACAGACTAGACAGTTTGTCACAAAAATACAGGTCGTATAGTAGCGAATCTGGTTTTGTCTTTTCGACAAGGACATGCCTGTATGCTTGAGGAATCCACATGTCAAGACACTGTGATACTGTGGTTCCTCGTAGTAGGCCCTGCTTTAGAAAAAAAACAAACTCCTCGAAACGGTCAGGTGGCGTAATCACGTTCGATAAATCAACTTTAGGCCGGAGGCGTACAAGATGTAGCTCGTCATCTCGAAGAGCCTTAGTACTTTTTATTGAAAGAAAATTCGATGAATCAACAGTTGTAAGAAGTTTGTTTTCAGTTAGCAAACTATAGAGCACGGGGTAGGTCCGCAGCAAAGAACGGGACTCGTTCGGAGCTCTGCCCGCATTCATGATCTGGTACTCATGAGAGCTCATGAACACGAGAAGTTCGACCGGTCCTAATTGAAACAGGCCTGTCCGGGACGGGATCATATAGAGAAGTGATCGAAGAAATCCCATTTCAGTGGTACGGGTAAGCGAAGCGAACAGCGTCGCCTTTGGAGGTAGAGACCAGTCTGTTTGAATCGGTAGGCCACTGAAACACGCTTTCTCTCGATTGGAGGCTGTCACTGAATCACATACAAGCATCGTGTTCAATTTGAGAATGTTTTCATGGATTAGTCGAACAGTTGTTGGATGCGTGTCAGCGAGCTTCAGAAGTGACGGCAGAAAAATAGAGTCTCGGGCGGCGTAGAGATATAGATGACGACAGCCCATTTGAAGTAGGCGCTGACTTAAATAACCGAAACCAGGGTTGGCTTCCAGAATAAACCTGCAATGAATAAAGTAGCCATCATGAAGATCTATTAGTTGGTTGCCATTTGAAATAATAAATACGATTGTAATAAGAATGATGCCATTATTATTTTTATTGCACACCATATGCGGGTATGGCAATATCTTATACTCGGATGATGGTACGAACAAATGATATAAAGATATTGTTTTAGACAAACATTTTGGGAAACGCTTTTTATCCTCAGCAAAAATTCTTAACTCACTACTTGCCAGTAATTTCGCAGTGCACGAATATAATAACAGCAAAGAAACGATAATGCGGGCACGAGTAGGGTTGTGCAATGACAATTATCACAAGAGGATTCGATCTCTTTTGTGACGACAGCACGTTCTCGATTTCTTTTTATATTTCCTTCATTTTATGCTATCTATCTAAACTGGAAATTGAAACGTTCAATGCATTTCTGGCAGATTGGAAAGTGTTTTTCTTTTCTACGTACCTGTTCTCCTTTATGTCTTCTTGTAGATAACTTGCCACCAACTCAGCTATTTCAGTATTAGCTAGAAAACACGATTTGTCAAACTGGGCTCTACGCTCCTTTACCCATTTGTCGCCAAGCCTCGCCCTCATTTCGCTTTCCAGAGGTGTTCTTCGAGTTTTCCTTTTAATTGTCGTTTTCTTTTCTTTCGGTTCTTTTGCGGCAGGGTTGACGATGAACTTCGGTTCATCGCGTACCGGCATAAGCGGAGTGGTGGCTAAAATACGTTTAGACTGTAGGAACAAGAATCTCGGGCATTCCTTTGCACTCAGTGGTGAAATACGTAACAGACTTGCAGCAGCAGTAGCCATTGGCAAAGATTTCCAGTACGGATCCGAATATAAGCATATGTAAAAATCTGCCTCGTAGTGAAATATACGCTGTATTAATAGACGACAATTATAGTTGAGAAAGGAGAACATGTGCGCAGGTCAGCCTCATAAGCGCTTTTCTATTCCATCGAAAATGTACCGAAATGTTTATGTTCCTTTCAACGCTGGCGTCATCATATGATCTCTCAAATAATAGCTCTATTCAGCGAGTGCGTATGAAGTTGTTCTTCAAAGAAATAACACCGTAATTGATCACAACAGATATACTATAAGTTTGAAGGCCCGCTACTCACTTAGTACAATGTACGCTGCTGACGAAATACAATGTATTCTACATGACACCAACAAGTTTTTAAATCCTTTGAGCCGTTGGGCAAAGAGGCCACCAACTTAATTAAGCAGCTGAGCCTGTATTATTAAGGCGCACCATCGAGTCACGTCATACCCCGCCAACAGCAGTCGCAGACAATCAAAGGCATGAACGCATTGTTAGCTCCCTAATTATAAAGAGGTTAGACACCTGCGGACCTGCGGCAAGTCACAAAGATATGGTTGAAATCACATTTAAGACAACTAAGCTATTTCAGTGAAAATTGACGCGAAATTAGTTTAAAATTTTATTAAAATTATTCGAGCTCGTATATGCCCCCTCCACATAATCGACTTTCGTCGGAGGATAGGCTGGCTGCGTGCTCCATGTGAGCTCTGTTAACACAGTTTGGAACTAACTCGTTCGAGTATGCCAAATTGAATTATTTCAGATGACTGATAGAAAACTGAATAAAAATATTAAACTTGTTTTACCAGTTTCCGGACGACGGCGGGCAGCTTCTGCCGAATCTGACGTTACGTTAAAGGAATGCCCGTCTTTTTGCCAAAGAGGCACGGTAGCACTGTCGCAGAAGTACATTCTCTATAGAATAAATGCACGAAGCCCTACAACAGAAGGAGGAGTTCCTATCGAATTTCAAACAGCAAAGGCTTTCTTTGACTTTTCCTCCTAAAAGTTGTAAGCCCAGAAAGCAGACATCGAATGCAAATGTGTCATGAGCTAGCTAAATTAAGCTAACAAACACTTAGAGAGGTGGGTTCATTTCAGTAATGTGTTGAATGAAATTTCATCGCTCCCGTAAGGGCAGGTTGTATTTGGTCTATATTTGTTAATTGTCAACGCGCCGTACTGTATTTATCTAGCCCTAGTCAATGTGCGTGTGAGAGAGATCTTTGTTGAATAAAGTTTTGACGTTGGTCTCTTAGCAACGAATCAACTAACGCCACATTATTCCGGCGAGTGTCATGAAAAGGTCCGATGATGCTACTAGACTAGTTCGCGTATATCGTCGTTTTTAACCGTCGATTTGTGTTGTTAAGATGATTACGGATTATAGCCTTCCATGAAAGCTCCTTATTCAATATTCATAGATGTAATAGTTAGGAGAAATTAGGGTAGCTGAAATACTTCCTCGACTTTTTAGGAGTCGGTTTGTGGTGCTCACAGTGTAATGTGTTGAGTTGTTTAATAATTGATCGTGTAGTATCATAGATTAGTGCGCGCACCAATGTGAAACAACAAGAAGAAGTTGTTCCCCATCATGGTAAAGTTATACAAATAGTTCCAGCACCAAGTGAATCTTAGCAGTGGCCCAGCGATCGGTTGCATTAATCTGTTATATGGGTGTTATATATATATTAATAGTTTTATGGGTGGACGGAAGCTGTATAGTTAGGAAAGTGTCAATAATTTTTGGTGCTATCACTCGTGACACTGTAATAATTGTTTAGGTTAGAGGATATAATAGCACTGTGAGAAAAGAAATAAAAAATATATGGTATAAGATAATATGCCATACACACATATATATATATATATATATATAGCAAAAGCAATAGTGCATTTCGTCTAAACTTTAATAATTCCCCAGCTCATGTTGCCATGAGTCATTGTTAAAGGATGAGAAGTCTTAAGACATGTACATGAGAACGGTCGTACAGAGGGTCTCTACTTCGATCGAAATACTCGGTATACAATTCTGGAAGGCTTATTTTACATAAAGGCGCTTAGTGCATGCTATATTACGTGTCGCTATTACGTGATGAATCGCAAGTATTACTTTCATCAGGAGGCGGTAGATTCCTGTATTTTTAGAAAGACGACTTTTATTTATGATAGAACAGTACCGGCAGGGTTTAAACGTCTACACGTTTCCTTACAGTTAAAATGTGGTTTGATTGGCGGTTATCCGCTTTCTGGAGCGCAGTATTACTACAGCGTCCATTGTTATCGATCGCTCAGGAGTGCCCGCGCGGATGGCAAGAATTCTCTGAATCGTGTTACAAATTCTTTCGCTCACCGCCGAAACTCCGCGATGATGCACGAGAGCTGTGCCAAACTTATAATGCTCGTTTGGTCAGTGTCAATTCGTACGAAGAGCACCAGTTCATTGTAAGATGGCTCCGGGCTAACGACCCACAGCATAGGCGCTGGTGGACATCCGGCTACGAACTCAACGGCGCGTGGTCTTGGGACGGAGATGGAACATACTTTTCAAACATTGACAACTTGTGGCTACCTGATTCAGGGAATTTAATTTGGAACTACGCTGCATACAAGTGAGTCTCTCTAGGTATCGAAATAAATAACTTGTTTCTAAATTGATTGATTAAGCAATGTGTACAGGCGACTTGCATCATTCTTACAGGCCGTTTTGTTTATGATCTTAACAGCTACTCACAATTTAACCATCGGTGGGGTTTGGAGAGAGCCTCTCCTTCGGATCCTCTGGCGCTGATTTGTGAAATATTCAAAGAGAATTTGCACCAGATCATCTTACAGGAAAGAACGATTGATTACGGGGTAACTGAGTTGGATTCAGAACGAATTCCTCGTGGTCCTTATTTTACTCTTGATCCAGTCGATGTAATTTTCGATCAGAGCGGTCGGTCACAGGTAGACCATGTTTCTTTACGCTGTGTCGCCTCAGGATATCCAGCTCCTACATACAAATGGTACCGGGTATGTATTAAAGTTTAAACTTATTCGAGTAGATGTTTCTTTACAAATAGGGCTAATCATGTCGTTTCGAGTTGTTTCTGAATAGATAAATAAACAATCACTAACCAATAGATGATCACCACTTAATTGCAGTTTCGAAAAAATAGGCTCTGTGACATTGTTTTGTTCATGATATTGTCATACATGTTTTATGCAAGCAGGAATCGTTCGAGGGTGATGATCTTGTCGCAACTGAGATCGATCCCTTATCGACTGATCGGTATACTCAGACCGATGGAACTCTTATTGTGTCACACCCAGAGCCAAATATCGATCGTGGGAAATATCACTGCATGGCGGAAAACAAGTTCGGAAGAATAAAATCGCGCACCGTCACTCTTGGCTTTGGATGTAAGTTCTTCTAACCCATTGTGTCTAAATAATTGGCAGTATGCTATATGGATGCATTCTCAAATCTCTCTAAAAGTGAAATTACAAGCGACCTGTATTGAGAGGCCAAAGAACCGTTACCCTTTGTTAAAACTAGCGTATCGAGTCTAACTTTTATTCCTACAGTTTTGGTTTTCTATGCTCAAAACTGATCCACTAATAAAATACTGTATTAGCGTCGTATTTACCACGTAGAAGTAAGCGAATTTAGGAACGGAGGGAACGTTGATAGTTTTAGTCTAGCTAGATCCAGCATAGCCTGTATAAAGCTGCAGATCAGAGAGCATATCCTCTGATATGACGATATGGGAATCTCATATCATTATTACGTGTGTCACATCGTAAAAACAAAACAAAATGGAAATAGTGAAAAGAAAATATCGAGAAGAAATAGAAGTCAGTATTGGAATTGTAAACCTTTGAACTTGTTCGGAGACTTAGGGTCCCTAAGGTGCTCCTTAAATATTTTTAAAGAACATCAGCCTTTGACTATTTTACTTGATCACTGAGCGTGTGCGTCTGTTATTCTTTATATATAATTTCTACCTACTAAACAACTAATTTTTTATCAGAAACACAACTTTATAGAATTGAGCATGAGTCGTGAAGAAGAGAGTGAGCTAGAATTCAAAACGAAGTGCAGACGTCGATTTAGCCACATTCGTTTTATCATACAATTCTTTATTAATAAGGTAAAAGAATCCAAGTATATTCAGGCACAACAAGTCTTAATTGTCTTTATCAGAGTCGACGCCATTTCCGCCATCGAAGTGGACTTACTAATGTGTTGGTTTTATCTTAACGTTAACAAAAAAAGGCTCCCTAAGTCTTATTCTTATATGTATCGAAATCTATGATCGGAGTATTTTTTAATTTTCTCTTCATGTTTATATTTTAATTTAGCACATTTAGCCGTTGTTTCTATATGAACAAGTTCATAGGATTACCTCTTTTTAGTTTCTAGCATCAAAGAAAGCAAGAAAGAAGTCTTGCTGAGCTTATCTGGCATTTTTCCACCAGACCTATGAAACCATATGAGCATCTAACAACTTTTATTATTTCCCTCAATTGCTTATTTCCCTGGCAGCTTATTTTCCTGATTGTTAATTTCAGGCGGGTTTTCTTAATTTTTTTTTTAATGCTGAAATTTTAGCCAGCGTGGTAGTATGCTTGTCAGTTACGGCTATTATGGGAGCCCACTCAAAGAGATGCACCTTAGGTACGTCGCCCTTTGTCACCGAAGTATTGATTTACTCCATACGATATATAGTTAATGTGTAAACTGGAATTATATTATAGTAAACATGGTTTAGTATACTGATAAAGTCGGATTAGCTATTTAGGTTTCTCGGCAATAGCTTTTTCAATGCGGTCAAATATCTCGTCTGCGTTTACGTTCACCAGCCACTTGTTTGGTGATTGGTCAAAACTCGGCGAGTAATAAATGTCGATGTTATCTCCGCGGAAATGTATGGCGAAGTGAGCCCCGAAACCGGGTCTTGCTATCTTCTTCGAACTGTCGATCAGAGAGAGAAGGCCTGATATATGAATATCAGAAAACGAAAATGTGGTCAGCGACGGCTCAGGACTATGGCGAAGCAGTCGAATTTCGTCAAGAAATGTACGAAATATCGGCTTGCTGAACGTAGCGGTGGCAAACTCGGTCAGTGCATCATAGATTTCAGGGCCGAGGAATTGCCCGTCGGGCAAACATTCGAGATTGGCCAAGCCGAAAGGCAGGGACAAACCCAGCTCACGAACCGAATCTAAACTATCTGCAATGAGGATGCCATATAGCAATTTAAATTCTTCTGGCAATGTAATATTCAACTGTTGAATTATGGTCGTGGCCACCTGTTTCATGCAGCTGGGTATGGACGCCGCAAATGTTTTTTCACGTTCAACAAATTCGCTATAGTTCGGATCCATCGGTTTGATCTCCATGTACGGCATGATATTTGACGTATATTGCAGATCCAGTATCTCCATGATCAGTTCAGCAGTGCGAATACATCGTTGCTCATTAGCCGCTACTACACGACCGCGGGCCACTAAATCTATAAAAGGAGCATAAGTTTGCAGCAGATGAGTACCCAGAGTCGCAACTTCCTTTTGACCCTGCGGAGTAAGTTTGCCAAGCTCATAAGATCCTAACTCTGGTATAGGAACGAGCGGTTGACGTTCGCCATGTCTTAGAAACAGAACCACATCCTGTACATTTTCCAGTGATGGCTGCTGACTGATGCTCATGACAAGAACTAGCGCAATGACGAGTACGGCGATGAGAAACACAACAGTCACAGCACTCTTAATCATCTGTAGCACACTTCGAGCTTCGCATCCAACCAGATTTTCAGTGCTGAGATCAAGAGAGTGTATCCCCGAAAAAGAATCGGTGAGAGCCAAACTACCGTAGTTCGGCGGTCCTGCTGCCGTTGTTGCTGCTGTTATTAACGCCGATGTCGTGACCGGCGTGGCAATGTATTTCGGCGAGCTCATCTTGCAGCTAATACGTACTTCCCCTTCTCAATAGAAATCGGACTTAGCCGAAAGGATTCCGGCGAGAACGTCAAGACAAGCTTAAAAACCAGCTTGGCCTTGTTTGGCTCAATATGACGAACTCCAGGAGCGAAGGAATGGTAAGCGGATGACGGCATAGCTACCAGCTGCAACAGCTGCAGCAGGCGCCGATATCAACAACATTGACACCAGAGAAAGCCAACTAGCTGTAAGACCTTCACGCGCCCGCTGTAAACGCGATTGTCGCGAGGGCTGCGATAACAGCAGCAACGGCTAAAGTCGGCTATTTGTTGACTCGTTTGCACTTGATGTCAAACGACCGGCACTGCCAAGTGGCATATGGTAAAGTTGACTGTTTCGCCGCTTGGACTTGTTGTCTCGCTCACTAATAGCCATGGTAAGATAGTGCGAGGCAAAAAGAACAGCAGTCCGGTGTAACGAAAATGGCCGCTGCATTTAAGGAAACAGACAGATAAAGGGTGAGGGTAAATAGAGTGGAGTATTCTCGGACTTGCTTGGTAGTGAACGGGGCGACAAGGCGGATAATTGGCGCTTGCTGATCGTGTACCGAGGAAACCTTTTGCCATTAGAAGCCAGCAACTTGATAACTGTCAACGGGGAGTGCAATGGGATTTGGATATGTGGTGGAGAGTTGGTTGATGTTTAAAGGTCGCCTTTGATAGACTTTGGCAGTTTTACATGGGATCATACTTCCTACTGAGAGGATTGCAAATATAAGCAATAGAACTAGAACAGACGGTATTTGTTTTAAACAAAATAGTCCTATGAAGCATGACTGTTAAGCACATTGTCTTGTGCTATATTTTCCCTAGGCAAAACTGACTGTATGTTGTATATATGTTTCAGAACATGGGTAAACACTTCGCAGGACCTCTTCTCATTATTCGATGGAAGCAGTAGTTGTTAAATTTTAGGCTAAACTAAACCGTTTGCATAATTACAACAATGGGACCGACTGTGTGGCTTATTTATAGCGGAAGCACATAGGAGCATGGTTCTCTTAAACATACTGTCCCAATAAATGCATTCAAACAATTGCTTATATATATGCTCTGTGTTGTGGTAACTACTGAGTTGATCTCGAATGCCAACCTCTTCTTCATTAGTGACTTCAATTGTGTTGTGAAATCAATTCTGTCTATTTTGTCAGTAGATGCTTCATGTTTGTAAAATTGTGCGCTCCTATTCCCTCCTAAACCCTCGATTCGTAAAAAAGGTAAAGGTTAGTTTCAAGGAAGTGTTTATATAAACATATATATATATAAATAAAGATTTATTGATGCATTTTGTTTGCAATAACTGAAATATCTCAGCCTCTTGCACTGATATCGTTCTTGAGTCAGCTGCAGTGCCGGTAGCACGGCAGGGAATTATTTAGAATCTGCTTGTTAATTACCCTGCTTTGCTCTTTCTAAAGTCGTTTGTCATTATAGTTTGAACAGGAAAACTATATTTTAGCTAAGCTATTATCGGCGAAAATAGGTGAGATCGGTAGTTGCATTAATATAATGCATTTGTTGGCAAACCCTGAATAAGAACGGCACCTTAGTCTGTTTATCTATATATTATACTTAAGTTCTCATTGCATATAAGAACGCTTCGTAGAAGAAGGAGGAGGAGATTGATACCAAATGAAATGCGTAGGTGCAAGTGTTCCCATTACATTTATACATTGGGATTTACAAGGTTACTTTGCCATGAGCGAATAATGCAGCAACTAAACTACTGCCGCTTCGCGCACTATGAGGAATCGGCTAGAATAAAATTTATAGATGTGATTCAGTAAAACATAGTAAACTTAGCGTCAGTTAAACTAAACATTGTGAAATCTCCGTTCAGTACAACCGCTCGGCACTGCTTCGCAAGGCTGGCCTTTTTTTATATTATTATTATTATATATTAATTTTATATTCTTATCTCTTTATCTTTCGAATTAATTGCAGATATCGGTGAGTTTAACAAGAAACGTACAATTGATAGGGGCAAAGAGTATTGGGGAAAATCAATCGCATGCGATGAACCTCAACACTATCCCAAGGTCAACTATTACTGGACGCGAAATTCGTTCCCGAATTTTGTCGAAGAGGATCAACGAGTGTTTGTCTCGCATGATGGCCATCTTTACTTCAGTTCCCTTGAGAAAATCGACAACGGAAACTATTCGTGTAACGTTCAGAGTGACATCTCGGACACTGGACGGACGGGTCCATTCTTCCCCGTCATTGTTGAACCTGGCTGTAAGTTTTTTTTAAACTGCAAGTCAAAATAGTTGTTGCTGGTCTTCGTTACGTTGGATTTCTAGTTCAATATTTGCTTAATGCACAATATAGTATGCTATAGTAGCGTTATGGAGTTTGCAATTGACTGCATAATACTGTAATACGTATAATATCTGTGACGGGATTAGGGGAATAGATAATTGTAGCAGATAGTTCACTGTTCGCCACAATAGCGAAACACTACAGTCCTTGCGATAGAAAAAGTTTTTCGTCTTGGTCGTATCTCGATGGCCTTTTCCCTGCTTTTAAACTTAAAGTACTGCTAAGCCATTATGTACCCTTGCACAGATTACAGGACATCTGCTTATCGTGTGTCAAATTTTTTAGAAACAGCGTAAACAACGCAACATAAAATAACCCCAAAAAGTTTATATCGTTAAAGCATAGTATATGTAATTAAAATACTAAGTCTTGTGAATAACATTGGAGCGTGTTTGACCTACTAGTCTGGACACAGTCTCTTTTTTCTTAATCCAAGATTTTTATCTAATGAATTTATCTTTGCAACTCTTTTTTAAACTTCAGCAAGCGGGCAAAAACTTTTATTTCCGAATAATTTCCCCAAAAGCTTCCCGCAAACTGTGTTGGCTGGTGATCGAGTGAGACTTGAGTGTGTCGCATATGGCTATCCAGTGCCCAAATACAACTGGACCCGGGTTAATGGAGACTTGCCATATGGAAGTCGCATTGAAAATCACGGACGTGTACTGATTGTTCCAAAAACGCGTGTTGAGGATGAAGGAGAGTATATTTGTAGCGCTATAACTAGCCAGCAATCAATTCAAAAGTCCCATCACCTTTCTGTCCAGGTAAGAAAAGCGCACTACGTTATTTGAAGTATCCAACTAGTATACGTCCAAAGCCAAAGGTCATATATTACATTTTAAATGTAATATATGACCTTCGGCTTACGCCGCTTCAAATTAGACTCGAGGCATAGATTATATGATTATAAGGTATTGACAAGGCTGCTGAATGTCGTTGTGGGAAATATGTGGTGACACTAAGGTACGTTCATTACTAAACTGCGTTTTGGTATCGTTCATGGCTTGGAAAATAACTATATATAGGATAGTATTATAATTTAATCCGCCCACAAAAATTCCGAAATTCAAATGGAACTATGCAACTAAAATTCAATCTTACAGAATGCATCACAACCGTTAGTTAATTCGTCAAAACAACTATGTGTCACATACGCCACTGCTTGATATTCAGGACATCGGAGTTTTTTTTTGACCAGAATAAGGATGTTTTCTCTATTGCCACGCGCCCTTACTACGTATATCTCTTACAAAAAAAGCCAATATGAAGATAATGACGTAGATCATTATTCAAATTAACAGAGCTACCGAAAAGTTTTAATGCAAGGAGGGCAACTTAAGTAGCACTTAGACCAAAAAAAGGCGAGCTTCAAATTAACTAGTTCTTCTTATGGCCAGTCACTTCGTTACTTGAAGTAATGGCCAGAATTGCCAGCGATTCGAAATAGAGACACCACGGCTGTTTTTTGGTAAAACAGGTTTATTAAACATTTATTTAATATTGTGATATTCCACGTGAGCTTATTGCACATGATATTTTTTGATATAATCTAATACATGCCAATTTGTTGAGTCCTTGAAGCCCTATTCGTTAATGCGGGCAAATTTTCCGCAGGCAATTCCTGAGTTCACGATTCCCCTTGAGAATCAAATTGTCGATGAGGGCGCTTCGCTAACATGGGACTGTGAAGCATTTGGCATTCCTGATATTTCCTACGAATGGTACTATAATGGCCGGTCTTTAAACGATACGAGCAATTTGCACCGTCTCGGCCGCTATGTCATCCATGACAACGTCCTAATCATACCACAAGTGATCAAAGGAGGGGAAAAGGACGGTGGCGATGAGGGAATGTATCAATGTATGGCAAGAAATCAGATTGGGACAACTTTTTCGGCAGCACAGTTGAAAGTCATTGGTGAGTTAGATATAGGTATGGTTATAAATCTATGACTAGAAATGTGTGAAAAAATATTCCGTCGCAATTATAGCAGCTAAGTTAACAGCCATCTTAAATAGAACAACAGTTTCTGATGTCCGTTAGGAGACCTCTTATTACCCTTGAGATTGCTTTGTGTAATGGAAGTTCTACTAGCAAATCATTGTGCATTCCTATTTGACGAAACTATCTTTACAAAAAAGTGCGCTCAATAACTTTCTGCATTATTAATTTAATTCCCTCTAAAATTTGCTAGAGTTTTGCATCGGATCTGATTAGGTACTTCGTTTGAGTGTATTGCAATGCAGGTTGCTGTTGTATCCGTTATCTTTTGTAGTTTCTCTACTTGCTGGATTTCGAGCTAATTAGATTTTAGCGAAATGGTTATATCTTTGGAGAAACACATACTTTTTTTTATCGTGCAATCTTCCACAGCTCTTGCGCCAAATTTTCGCAAATATCCGCTTGAAACGGAGTTGTACGCGGCAGAAGATGGTAACGTGACAATCGCTTGCCGACCTGAGGCTGCCCCTTTTCCCGAGTTCCAATGGCGCAAAGACGGCTACTCGATTGGGGCACTTGGCGGGGGTCGAGTCCACGTTATGCCAAATGGCTACCTTCGGATCAATCCGGTCAGACATGAAGATGAAGGCAATTACACATGTTTTGCAAAGAACATTTATGGACAAGACTGGTCCTCTGGCAGACTGATCGTTTTACGTAAGTACGTTTCTGATCCACCCATTTAGCTGTTTTTGTAGCCGCTGAACCCAGCGCCACCTAGAATTTTGGCCTGTAAAGCAATGCAATGACATGTTTAGATTCCAATACCAAAATCCAAGGCAACGTCGTTGCGTTTAGACACCTGTCTAGTTTTAATTGTATTCATTTCCTCTTGCTTTTGAATGATTCTGGGACGGTGTCATCAGAGTTTAGATTTAATAATTTATCGTTTTAGTGCTCTGCAAATCAATGTAATTCGTTAATGCATCGCAATGATTTCAATTAATTATAGCTCCACCGATCGCCTATCAAAGTCCTCCCCCACGGCTGAGTGCAGTCGTCAACGATACAGTGGTGCTCGTTTGTGAGGCTCTCGTGTCTCCACTGCTTGACCTTTCGTATGTATGGGCGCACAATGACCTTAAGATCGACTGGAAGACGAATCCTCTCCATGAATACAAATACTCCATTGTAAGTTTACATAATTTCTACATCATTATTCAAATAGATAATACATAGAGTGAAAGTGAAAAGTTGAGTAAATTGAGCGTAAGTATTTATTAATAAGTTGCCACGAACTGAGACAGGTAGGTGCCGGTAATTTGGTGATCCGAAATGTGACCTTTTCGGAAGCTGGATTCTACCGTTGCACTGCGAAAACATCTATAGGCCGTGTGGAAATGCATAGCGAGTTGATCGTCATTGGCCCGCCTGGCCCAGTGGGTGCGGTTAAGGCTGAAAGTGCTAACGAAACTTCGGCCTTGATCACCTGGACAGATGCATCGACAAATGGCCGACCTTTCAAAGGCTATCTTATAGAAGGAAGAACAAACCACAACCATACGTGGAGGCTTATTGCGAGTGAGTTGAAGTAAATCAGAAATATGAAAATATAGTTTTATGGTTTATATTTATTTGTAGAAAACGTACGAGGCTGATGTTATAGTTGATTTAGATCAAGAAACAGCTATCGCTAAATTTTTAATCAAATTTCTCCTTGTGCATTGATGTATTGGACTGAAAATTGAATTAATAGTAACCGGTACTTCGCAAAATGCAAAACTAACAATAGCGTCTATGCTTTTGTGTCTTTTGACTACCTCAATTTGTTCTTCTTCTCAATTAAATTAACAGAGTCAACTTGCTGCCATTTGCTACTTTTCTTTTGGGTTCGACAGAGAGTAACTGTACAGTTGCGCAATAATATATCGTATATTCTTACTACCCAACTAATTTTCGAATTGCTATTGATGATGCCGTTTAGACTATACAACAGGAGACCGCTTTCGCTTGGAACCGCCATTCCGGACATTTCGACGCTCCTATCAGCTGCCTCGTGGATCACTCTCACCCTTTAGTGGATATGAGTTTCGCATTGCTGCCTACAATGATCTGGGAACCGGCGAGTTCTCTGACCCATCGCCAGTTGTGTCGACATTGGAGGACCGACCCTATAAATATCCTGACCATGTTGGGGGAGGCGGAGGCAAAGCTGGATCACTTACCATCACCTGGGATGTGAGCTGAATTTTCCATTCATAGTAGTATCACTGCTCAAAGATCTAATACTTCAAATGTAATACTTTTAAGTATTTGACATAACACATACTGATGCGATACAATTACTGGTGCGTTTCCTACTTCACTAACCAAATGTTATTCGAAATTCTTTATGTCATGTGTGCAGCAATTGCATGCCGAGGATTGGAATGCACCGCAGATCTGGTATATTGCCTACTGGCGACCGGCAAGCGAAAAGGGTGAGTTTAACAAAAGGAACCTCAAAGACTATGGTAATGTCGGGCTTTATGTAGTGAACGTCGGCGAGGAAAACTACTTCCGTCCTTATACTGTTATGGTGCAAGCGATGAACTACAAAGGAGCCGGTCCTCTCTCAGTTGAGACCGATGTGTACTCGGCCGAAGCTATGCCTCAAGTACAACCAACTGGTGTATATGCAATTGCATATAACTCAACCGCGCTTAATGTCACCTGGACCCCACTGGATGTTACAAGGGAGAAGATACGAGGACGACTCATTGGGCACAGAGTAAGTGGCATACCAGTACCTTTTGATGCATTAAAACAACTTAAATTTCTTTGGTCTCTTTAACTTTATTTCTTATCAGTATTCACTATCGTTTTGAGATTCATGTACAGAGTTGAGGTTTTTAATTCAAACTAAAGAGAGTAATGTTGAGTGAATTATCGCTGGACGTCTACTACAACAAGTTGCGTTACAATCATTATGTATATGATTACTCTGAATGTTAATGCCTATTTATTTATCACCGTCATCATTTACAGATCAAATATTGGCGCAGCGATGCCGATGCCGAGGTTGACTTTTTGGTACTACTTAATCGGGGCTTACGCAATTGGGCCCTAATTGTCGGTCTTCAACCCAACACCGAGTATCGTGTAGCCGTTATGGCATACAACGATGCCGGCAGTGGTCCGGAGTCTGAGTACTTCATTCAAAAGACATGGAAGGCTGCTCCACTACGTCCTCCAACATCCGTTAAGGTCCGAGCCATTGGTGATACTTCGGTCAAAGTCACGTGGCGAGGCGTGGTACCATCTATTGAAGAGGAATCGATTCAAGGATATATGGTCCGCTACTGGGAAGCCGATCAGGATTATACACAAGCAAAAGAAGTCCGACGCGTGTTGGATGTACACAGTTCCGAGCTGGATGCCATCGTCTCTGGTCTCGTCCCTGGCAAAGTGTACAAGCTGCGAGTACTTGCGTACTCGCTGGGTGGAGATGGGAAGATGTCGTCTCCTCCATGGGAATTCCGGCTCGGAGAAGGTGTTCAGTCGCCATTAACATCGGCAGCATCACAATGCATACCAGCTTGCTTTGCATCTAGCCTGGTCGTGGTACTTATTGGTAAGCTCCTGTGCAACTGGTGAGATCCATCTGTCGTCTCTTGTCAGAGCGAGAACGAGTGAGAGAACTCTGAGGTAATCTGTACTAAAAACCCGAAAGGGAACATCACTTTAATTCGACACTACTATTAATAATATGCTGTAATAGCATTGTGTTGTACATATGCATGCCGGAGAAAATATGGTGAGAGTCGAGAATGTTTAATATAAACGCGTGAAAGGGTGCAATTGAGTGACACATAAGTAGCCGGTAAACGTGGAGTGGCAGCTATTATTTAAAAATTCACGCATAGAACGATACCTACACACCCTTACAGAAACTCACCCTCAGAAAGACGAAAAAATGTGAACATGTGTATGAATCAAGTAGAGAAACCGAGTGCTGTTCTAGAATCACGGCGAAATAAATGAAATAGTCTCAACGTTTGCGATGAAATAGGAAAAGAATAGCGTTCAGACGCAAATAGTAATAATTTGATAATTACAGTTTAATGCAGGCGGAAAACTTTATAATTAGGGGACAAATGTTGATACTGTTACAGCACAAAATAATGTAACGATATTGACTGTACTAACGACTTTGCCGCTTCTTGCTCTCACTATTATCACCAGGGATAGATAGTAGCATCTAATATTATATGTATAAATTAATAAGATATAACAAGTAGCATTACGTAAGGAAGATTCGCTTTACATTAAAAGCGAATAAAAAGCAGAATGTATCAGAAATAAACTTTTTTATATTTTATACAACCTCTATTTTGCTTCGTAACTAACGAAATTTACTGGCAAAAATTGTTGGTCATATCAAAGTAATATCTTATATCAGTGAGTCAGAAAATATCAGGGCAAACCAAGCTTTGTCATTGATTAGGCTCTGGCTCTAATAGCCGGTCACATAAAACGGACTGGTAGTCAATAGCTATGGTTTAAACATGTACAGTGAAGAGAATCATAAATGAAGGTCGATCCATAATGAGGCCATTTATTAAAGAAACGAAATGCAACACAAAAATGGCCATATTTATATAACTTAAGCCATGGGCAACTATCCTGTTGCTTTTTCAAGGTGTGCGTAAATATAAACAACGAAACAAAGCATCGTTATACATAATCATACTACGGATCAACATAAATACCGCGTATATACTATATAGCGACTTCTCTTTGAATAGATTATCTATGCATATACATCGACCTTCTGGATAGTAATATACATACGAAATTGCTTCATATATCAATTCCCGCGTTTATGACTAGATTTTTGTAGACGCATAATATTTCGACCTTTCCGATTTGGCAACAGCTGGTCAAACAGGTAATAAGATAAACAGGTGGGAGGAAATCGACGAACAGTCCACTCCGATAAGCAAAGAAAGTACAGATTAAACTGGTAATGTGAGTTTTCTCTAGCAGTCCATCCACTGTGTGAAAGCGAGCTATGGTACGGTATCGGTACCTGTTTTTGTATAAAAGATAGATGCTAGAGAAGTTCAAAATATGCAACAAGTAATGCATATAT